AAGAATGCACCAGTTCTGAAAAGATCAACATCCAGAAGCAGAAATACCAATAGTAATAGGCACCTTGGCTGCAATCTAAAACATCTGGAGTACTACTTGAAGACCCTGGCATTGACAAAATCAGTCAGTTGCAAAAAGCAGCTTCACTTGGGACAGCTTACATCCTTTAACACTATCAAACAACAACATCTGCCTAGCCCAGGTTCTTTGGAAGGACTCAATATGTGGACAAAAATACCAAATTCAGTCTAAACATCTGGCTGACTCTATGATGAACCATAATAATTTATTACATTTATATGCCAGCAACACATGACTTTTGAACATTCCTAAGTACAGTAACTGAAAAAGATATCAATTCATAAAACATATTACAATTGACCTTTGGGGCCTGACTTTTGATACCCCTTGTATATCCTTTTTGTCTGTAATAAGGTAACTTTTCCAGACATATTGGAGGGTGGAGAATAGAAACATTATTCATCTTGCACAAAAATATTTTTAAGATTAGAGTTGTAGGGGGAACCCTACCAGATTTAGTTGTTTGTTTTATGTATTACTCATTTTATTAATTACTCATTGCTTTTCTGTATTGCCGGCTGCCAAATCTTACTCAATGGTATTAAAAATTGCTTCTCCCCCACCCCCCAGTCTTTTGTCAAGTATCCAGTGACAACCTTCTGTGGCACGCCAACTATTTTTCGGATGCTCCTCCAACACAATGTTAGCAGGTACGACTAATTTGTATAAGAACAGGACCATGCTGTGGTATTTTATCTCTGTGTAATTTTGGAAGACATGATGGGCTGGGTTGGGGACAGATTAGCTTAGAGAAGGTCTATCTATGTAGTTGCTAAGAGCTGACACCAACTGAACGGCATATAATCAAGCAAACAATCCGTTTTTCATACTTTGGAGCCCGCTGCTTCCTTGAAGAACCCTTCTTTGAAGAACGTTGCTTTCTTCTTATCCTGATTCAGGTATAAGTTCAAGAGTCTGCAGACCTGCGTGAGCGGTGGAGAACCAGCTAATCTAGAAGTGCTCAAGCAGTGGAAAACAGAGACTGGGTTGGATATCCTTGAAGGTTATGGGCAGACAGAATCTGTATGTTTGCACCCAGTTGTGCCTTTAATAAATGCTTGGGGTGAAAATGTTCAAAACATAAAATGCATAGAACTTTTCCAGACCTACTCAGCTGAGACTCTGACTTCATTCCACAAAGCCAGAATGTGATGTAGTCGATAAGTGTTGGGCCAGGACTAGAAACAACCAGATTCAACTCCACTTGACCATGGAGTTCCCTGGCTGGCTATGGGCCAGTCCTTTTTGCTCAGCCCAACCTATTTCAAAAGGTTCTTGAAATCTGGTATCTTTGTACTAATGGAGACATCCAAATCTCAGGGTGTAAGTTGAAGGCACAACCATTTCCCCCAACTTTGTGCTATCCAAATATGTTGGATGACAATCCCCAACACTTCCAATCCACGTGGCCATGCGTGAATCTTGAAATATTAGTTGGTTAAAGTCAACTAAGCAGCCTTCAAGGTTTATTTGTTTACTATTATTTTTATTTATTAATTAAACAAATTTATTTATTAAGCAAATTTCTATCAGAAGAAACTCTGGGCGGTGAGCAAAATAAATACTCAATACAATAAAACAACTGTTTAAAACAATAAGCAATGTTGAGGTCCCAATAAAACTCATATCCATCCAGCAACCACCCCCTGCCAGTTCAGTCAACATCTTGGCCCCACTGCCTGTTTGATGACCAGATATGTTGAGGGTTTTTAAAGGAGAACAACTTAATTGCACCCCTGTAATTTGTCCTCACAGTCTTTGATATGCTCTACTGCAAAAGGGATGAAAATCAAACCTGGATTTATTGGAAAACCTATTCCTGGCACTGATATCCAGGTAGGTCAATTTTGTAATGGATGTCATTAATATTATAAGGTGGAAGAATTCCTCTGATCGTATAATTTAATACCATAAGAATTGTTCATTACAGTGCTAGGCAGTGAGGTCCTATCACGTAAGCCAAAAGGGAAGCTTGAATAACCACTGACAGGTTCTCTTTCTTTCCAGATCATTGATGAAAATGGCAATCGTCTTCCTCCTGGAGTAGAAGGAGACATTGCAATAAAGATCAAGCCACAAAGGCCTGTGGGTCTTTTCACCGGTTATGTGGTAAGGAAGAAACCCATCAAACAACTGAGCAAATTTCAGGAAGTAGAACTGGTTTTTAAGGTGACATAGCACCAGCCATTACTGCCTTAGCCATAGTAATGATAAGGGAGAAGCTGGAGAGAGGACTAGTGGTGTCCAGCCTCAAAAGAAGCTGCAATACATTCTTCTTCCCAACTCAGAAACTGGAAAGCTACATCAAGGGTGACAATTGTTTAGTGCCCAAAGACCACACCTCTCTAGTTATTTTGGATCACATTGGGTGAAGCAGTGAGGTCACTGTGAGTGTAGCTATAAGGTAAAAGAAGGTAGGGCCAGTAGGAGAAATGGAAAAAAATATATAACATTCGAAAAATGTTAAAACAATCCTAACAATGAGAGGAGAGAGAATTAAAGGTTTGTTTAGACCAGTGTTTCTCAACTTTGGCAACTTTAAGATGACTGGACTTCAATTCCCAGAATTCCCCAGCCAGCATGCTGGCTGGGGAATTCTGGGAGTTGA